CTATGGCAGAAAAAATAAATTTTAAAAATACAAAAAATAATAAAAGGGACCTTTAGCCTTTTTCACCATTTAAGGACACAACAAGAGACAGCCACCTACTAACCAGGAAGCAGGCCTCGCTATATACCTGCCAGCACTTTGATCATGGACTTTCCAGCCTCCAGAACTGAGAGAATAAATGCCCGTTGTTAGTAAGTCACTCCATGTATGGGAGTTTGTTAAAATGGCCTGAAGGGACTAAGACAACCTCATATTCCTTAAAGCTGAATTTAGGATTTCAAGCCTGCCCAGTACATCCCTGGACTCCAGGACTTTGCAGATATGATCACAGACCCTTGGGCCACTAGTGATGGAAGATGCACCAGGAGCCTGGATTGAAGCAAGTGACTATCTCAAAGTGGGTGAGACATGGATTCAATTGATCATGGTAATAACAACAATAGTAAACCTGGAGGGTTTTTATTGTTTTTTTTTTTTTTTTTTTTTTTTTTAATTTTAAGAGAGCTTTTTGCTATAGGGCATGTGTTCGCCAGAGAGAGAGACACACAGACAGAAATCAAGAAGTCACCCCCTCCCCCATGTACCTTGTTGGACTCATAAGTATGCCCAGAACTTTACCAGGTGACTAGGCTGGGGTTTCAACTGTGGCCATGTGGAATCCGGCACGTTACTGCTGTGTCCTCTTCTGCAAAGTATTAATAATGCTGCTCCTGCTACCTCTGTTTCATGAATTGACTGGGGAACTATTCAGAGTGCATCTACAAATGAATGGTAGACTTACAGTTAGGGTCTCTGAGCATATTTTAAAAGAAAAAGATGGGGGCCGGCCAATGGTGGTATTGGAGGGTCTTGGACTCCCACATGGCTGACAACGGTTTGAGTCCTAGACCTGGTGTCTCGCTTTCTCAGTTTCTCTCTCTCTCTCTCCCTCCCTCTCTCTGGTCAAATTTAAATAAATTAAGTAAGTAAGTAAGTTAAAATAAAAAGAACTCTTTGAAAGAAAAAGATGATCATAGGGAACTAGACAACATTAAATCACAGCAGTGCTTCGAAGCTACCACCACACTCACTGCTTTTCTGGAAAAAGTTTCTAGATGTGAGAATAGGGCCAGGCTCAACATACTGCCCAGACTCCAGAAAGTGTTGAGGCCAAGGGATGTTCATTCACAGGAGAGGAGCATCCTGACACCGCATTGCACCGCCTGGTTAGGGGAGCAGAAATGGGCGCGCTGCAGGTGTTTCTTGACCTTGGCTACAAAATGGTCCCAGAGGCAGTTTCTGGGCATTGCAATACGTAGTGGGGTGCATGATTATCACACCTGTTCCTCTTTCTAGAGTTTAAATGGGCCTTGCTCATGGTCGTTTTGGAAATCACCATGTTAGTAGATGCTGTCCCAGCTGAACAGCTGAATAAACCTAGAACTCGTGTGTGCAAAACAGATGGTGGCTTTTTTCCACAACAGAAGTTGTTATTTCCTTGTGGACAATATACAGAAGTGTTGCTGAAAATAGCTGGGACTACCCAGCTGGCTGAAAGCAATTGTGCTCAAAGAATGCTGATCAATATGTTGGGGTCACCCTGAAGGAAACATGTTTGTCAGGATGAATACCTTTTTTTTTTTTTTTTTTGGCTACAGGGTGCGTATGCTCACTGGAGAGAGACAGCGGGGCAGAGGGAAGGGAAAATGAGAAATCACCTCCCAGGACCAGGGGGATAGTCATGCCATAGTCCCTTCTATATTCTCCTCTTGGGATTTTTGGTCATACACACGTGCCCAGTGTGATTTTTCAAGCCACCACATCTGAGACTCAAACCTCAGAGTTGACTATGTGGGGCTCCATCCAGCCGCCTAACTTCCACGCCTCTTACTGGCCCCCAGGATTAATGCTTTTATCCACAAGGTGGAGGAAAATGTAAGAGTGTTCACCAAAAGTACAAAGTATAACTAATATGTTAGGTAGCAGAATTGCAACTCACAGTGATATTTATATGATGTCATAATACACCTGAAGGACTAACAGCTGTGGACAGGACACAAGGGAGTCCTGGCTGTGAAGGACTGGGCTAGAGGAGTTATCAAGTTCCCTTTAACTCAAAGATGCTATGGCACACGTTCGAAAATTACTTGGGAGGGGAAATAGGAACATTCTAGTCAAAAGCAACATATTGTTTCTTGCCCCCCTCTCCCAGGCTATCAAATTGATAGTTGCTAGGCAATTAAGAAGTGGAAGAGGAGTAAGAGAAATCAACATCAGCTAATACAAATGATAGACTGGTTAAATACTTTTTGAGCTCTGTGCATGGTTCAATTTGTTTTTCCCAGTTTTACTATAAGGCATTCGTGTGTGTGTGTGTGTGTGTGTGTGTGAGAGAGAGAGAGAGAGAGAGAAAGAGAAAAATCATCCCTCAAGGAGGGATGGCCACACCACATTCCTTTCTCCAGTCTCCTCTTGGGATTCTGGGCATGCACATATATGCACCCGGTATGTTTTTCAAGCCACCAGATCTGGGACCTGAACTGTGTAGTGAGTCATGTGAGATCCAGCCACCTCAACCTCCAATGCCACCTGTGGGCCCACGTGGTTCTGTTTTAAATTTCAGCTGTGAAAAAACAAGGACATGCTGTCAGAGTAACTAACTATTAGGTTGTTGGGAAAGTCATGACATATTTTTCTATGTTTCTCTATGCAAAAAGGCGTCATGACTTTCCCAGCAATCTACTATATTCTTTAGTGTTCATTGTGAGTTTCTAACACACCATTGTGAACTCTGGTTTAGGCTCATATACGTGGGTAACTCAGCCAAAAGTATAGAATGTCCCACAAATGGACATGAGCATTAGGGGTAGACATAGCCTAGACTTCTGAACTGAAATGCTCAGTACAAGCCAAAGAAAGATCATGCCAATGGTTCAGGTTTATGGGAGTATGAGACCAGCAGTTGGCATAATGGCCATGTTGCTAGACTTCTATGTAATCAACTACGGTTCGAGTCCCAGACCTGGTGGCTTAAACTCACGCCGGGCGCGTGTGCATGCGTGCCCAAGATCCTGAGAGGAGAATGGAGAAGGGATTGCAGCATGGCCGTCCCCCCTGGGGGGTGATTTCTCGCTTTCTGTCTCTCTGTCTCTGTCTTTCTGGCGAGCACATGTGCCCTACAGCAAAAACCTCTCAAAAAAAAAAAAAAAAGATTTATGGGAGTACAAAATGACCGTGCCATGATCCTTTTCCCTCCAACTCTCCATCCCATCAGGATCCTGGACATGTGTGCACACCAGCATTTTTTTAAGCCATCAGAGCCAGGACTCAAACCCTGATGGGCTATGTGGTCCTCAGGAGAAAGCCAGGGGCAGAGAGAACTGGGACACTTCTATTCGCCAACTGCAGGTGACTGGAAGAACCCCCTGCATGGGGCCAGCAGATGGCATAGTGATTGCTTTGCTAGACTCCCACATGGTCAACTGTGGTTCAAGTCCCAGACCCAGTGGCTTGAAATTCACTCCAGGTACATGTGCGTGCATGCCCAAGATCCTGGGAGGAAAATGGAGGAGAAGGGACTGTGGCATGGCCATCCCACCCCAGGGGGTGATTTCTCACTTTCCTTCTCACTGTCTCTCTCTCTCTCTCTCTCTGGCAAACACACATGCCCTAAGACAAAAAATCTCTACCAAAAAAAAAAAAAAATACCCCATGCAGAATCACTAAGGTCCTGTTTTCTCCTCCTCCAGAGAACAATTAGCCCCTTGAAAGATCTTGCAGACAAAAATCACTTCTGGGCCCGTTTCTAGTACAGAGGAAGCTGGATCCCACATAGGGATGGAAGTGCACAATGCATGAACCCACCGTTTTAGTCTCACACAGGATCCTTTCACTACCCTAAAACCCCTCTGCTCTTGGCCTATGTGTCCTCACTCCCCCTTACTCCTTACTACTAATTTGCAATGCGGATTTCACATGCATATTCTCCACATCCCACTCTGTTAGCTATACTTTTATATCGCCAAGATTTACCAACATTTTTGTCCAGTTGTGGAGACACTGCTTTGCTTGTTTCCTATTACTTTGAGAAAGCAGTCTTCATTATGATTATTATTTTATTCATTGTCACTATTTTATTTTATTTTATTTTTTAAGTTGACCAGAGAGAGAGAAGGGAAGTGAGAAAACAAGCTGCCAGGTCTGGGACTCAAACCACAGTCAGCCATGTGGGAGTCCAGCAGCCTTAACCACTATACCATCTGCCGGCCCCAAAAGCAGTCTTTTCTTCTAAGACAAAAGAGGAGGCTACTGCTTCATGTGCAGTAAATATAAACATTCTTATTTATCAATTATACCTCAAAGAAGCTGAAAAAGATCGGAATAGACAAACTGCACTCTTAGCTTATACTTATGACAATAATTATTATTATTTAGGTTTCTGCCATAGGGTGCATGCGCTTGCCAGTGAGAAATCGGGGGTGGGGGGGACGATGGACGGCCACACTGCAATCCCTTCTCTAATTCTCCTCTCAGGATTTTGGTCTGCACACGCGCCTGGCATGATTTTCAAGGCTCCGGTCCAGGATTCGAATGGAGTCAGCCATGTGGGAGTTTAGCGTCTTAGTCACCATTACTACCTCTGGCCCCGGCTTTTAATTATTTTGCACTCCGAGATGAGGCATCGAGATGAGGGTAAGTTAAAACTCAAAATCTTAAAAATCAGTTGTTAATATGATCTTTTTACAGTTGAAAATCAAATTAGTAGGAGACTACCTCTGTTGTGAAGTAAAGGGCAACTCTACTCTCTTCCAGATTCTTAGAGTAACTCGTCCCAGATTGGGCCTACGTCTAGGGGTATCACGCGACGCGGCGACGCGGCAATTCACCACAGTGCTGCAACGACTCTGCGGGGCTGCAGTGCCCCGCTGCTCCCCCACCACGCAGCGCATGCGCGCACCCCCATCCCAGGCTCCTCCTCTTCCTCTTTCTCTTCCTGTGGCCCCCATTTTGGCAGACGCGTCGGAGCAGCGCTAGCCTCGTGGGCTTTGGTGAGAGACACTGGCCTGGGCGTCGGCGTCGGCAGCAGTAGCAGCGGCCACAGTCGGGTAAGGAGACATCGACGAGATACTTGAAGTATTGATAAGACTAAGGAACTCTGTCAGAATTTGAAAAGCTAAAACAAAAGCGTGATACCTAGACACTACGGAAAGGAAAGTAAAGATGCGGAAGAGGCGAGTTTTTGTGAATGAGGATCGCCATGTAATGGCGAAGCATGCTTGGGTTTACCCAACGCCAGAGGAGCTGGAGGCGGTCCAGGACATGGTGTGCCACACTGAGCGGGCACTGAAAGCGGTGTCTGACTGGGTCGATGGGCAAGAAAAAGGCGCGCGCGAGCCCGCCGAGCCTGAGAGGATAGATGCGCCCCTAGAGGACGAGAGCCGAGGAGCGGCCGGGCGTCTTAAGACCGAGAGAATTTCCAGAACCCTGTGGGCCGTGATGCGGGTTGGCCTCGTGGCGAAGGGCCTTCTGCTCACGGGGGACTTGGGTCTGGAGCTGGTGCTGCTGTGTAAGGAGAAGCCCACGGCCGCCCTTCTAGACAAGGTGGCTGGCAACCTGGCCATCCAGCTCCCTGCCATAACAAAAGATAAGTATGAAATACTCCTGTCTGTCCCTGATGCCGCAATTGTCATAAAAAACACAAAAGAGCCCCCATTGTCCCTGATCATCCACCTGACATCTCCTGTTATCAGAGAAGAAATGGGGAAAGTATTAGCTGGAGAAACGCTGTCAGTTAGCGATCCCCCAGATGTTCTAGACAAGCAGAAATGCCTTGCTGCCTTGGCGGCTATCCGACGTGCCAGGTGGTTCCAGGCCAGAGCCAACAAGCTGCACTCTTGTGTCATTGTCATCCGGGTCCTGAGGGACCTGTGCACCCGTGTGCCTACCCTGAGTCCCCTCAAAGGCTGGCCTCTGGAGCTTCTGTGTGAGAAGTCCATCAGCACGGTTTATAGGTACATGAGTGTTGGCGAGGCCCTGCGTAGAGTGCTGGAGTGCCTGGCATCAGGCATCATCATGACAGATGGTTTTGGCCTTTATGATCCATGTGAGAAAGAAGCCACTGATGTTCTTGGGCATCTAGACAGACAGCAACGGGAAAATATCACACACAGTGCTCAGCGTGCATTGCGCCTTGTCAGCTTTGGCCAGGTCCATAAAGTCCTGGGTATGGACCCTTTGCCTTTCGTGGGGCCCAAGACACCAAAGGAGGAAAACCCCATGGACTGCACCGTTCAGATCCGCCCTGAGGCCACCCACTTCTTTAAGTCCATGAAACATGCCATAAAGGAGGATGGGAACGAGAAGCCGCCTAGCAAAAAGAGGAAGATGCATAAGAAAGACAAAGCAGAGCCGCACCAAGCCCTGAGTGCCTTGATGAGACTGAACCACTTGAAGCCAGACCTGCAGTATAAACTGGCTTCCCAGACAGGTCCTGGCCATGCTCCCATCTTCACCATGTCTGTGGAGGTAGATGGCAACTTCTTCGAGGCCTCTGGGCCATCTAAAAAAATTACCAAACTTCTTGTGGCCACCAAAGTGTTACAGAGCATGGGATTACTGATGAGTACTGAAGTAAAGGACTTGAGCAAGGGGGAGGACTCAGCCCAGGAAGCTGTGGTGGAAGCTGTCTCCACCCCCAGTGCTGCCCTCCCATCAAACACCACTGCAGTGTTTGGGCGCATCCTCACAAAGCATGGCAAGAACCCAGTTATGGAACTTAATGAAAAGAAGCGTGGCCTCAGGTACGAGGTCATCTCTGAGACTGGGGGCAGCCATAACAAGCACTTTGTCATGGAGGTTCAGTTGGAAGGACAGAAGTTTCAAGGTGGTGGTTCCAACAAAAAGATGGCGAAGGCATATGCTGCCCTTGCTGCACTAGAAAAGGTGTTTCCTGATGGCTCGTTTACCCTCGAGACTATCAAAAAGGAGAGAGTTCTGACACCTGTCAGAGGTAGTCCAAAATCTTTTGCTAAGCCACATAACCTTGGCTTTGGAATGGGCAACCTCATGCACAATGCAGTGGCCCTGCCTCTCAACCTGCAAAGGCTGGGAAGAGGAGGAAACATCCATGGTGGAAGGGGAGGATTTGGCAGTGCCAACCATGAAGGCTACTTGAATGCCGGTGCTGGGTATGAAGGCAATTTGGCCACAGCCAGCCCCAATCAGTTCTATAGCAGTGGAGGGCATTTGGGGAATGCTGGTGGGGGTGGTGGTAGCTCTTCTAGCTATAGCTCCTACTGCCAAAGCAACAATTCTAATTCACCAGTGTCCCCAAAATGTGCCGGGAAGAAGCAGCCTCATGAGGGCCAGCAGAATCCCTCATATGGCTCAGGTTACAAATGGCACCAGGGTCAGCACCATTCCTACAACCAGAGCCGGTACCAGTCCTATCATGGCCGGAAGCAGTCAGACCAGGATTAGAATCAGTCCTACGACCAGGCCCAGTGCCAATCACACCAGGGCCAGCAGCAGTCCTATAATCAGGGCCAGTGCCAGTCCCACCAGAGCCAGGAGCAGTCCTACAAACAGGGCCAGTACCTGTTGCATCAGGATCAGCAGCAGTCCTACAGACAGGGCCAGTACAGGAGTTGTGGTCCCCCACAGGGAAAGCAGAAAGGCTATAACTATGGAGAGGGCAACTCTTCCTCCTACTTTAATTCCTACAGTGTCCCCAGCAACAGGGGCAAATCCAACTACATCTGCGAAAGGAAAGTTAACTGTGGTGATAGTGGAGACCAAAGCAGAAATAGGCACAGCTTAGGTGGGTCACCCTACACACTCTGGTCACACAAAGTCTATGGTGGAGGTTCTGGGGGTGGCTCCTCATACCAGGGTAACTCAGCACAGTAGAAGAATGGCTTTCCGGGGTCCAGCCAGAGTTACTATGGTCCTTCTAGCTCCTACAGGTTGGCGACAATGAAGATGCAAACCACGGTCTGGTCTATTACAAATAAAGCTGCAGATTTGTACCCACTGCACTTAACTCCCTGTTAGAAGTTTCATTTTATACCACATCCCAGTTAACTTGTCAACCACCCTCCAGGCCCCGGCCTCACCCTGTCTGTCTTGCTGCACTGTGCAGTACAGCAAGCCAGTTCCCTGACCCATTCTGTGACCCATATTTAGCCATATTTGGAACTCTGTCTTTGATGTGTTGTTAATTGCCATTAAGACTTTATCTGGGTAGAGGTTTTGTGATCTTGCAGTTCAGTATCCCTCGATTTACAACTGGTGTCATTGTAAACTCAGTTTGTCTTTAAGTGGTTAGAGAAGGGGTATAGCATCTGTTAATGCTTTTGTGAAGTAACTTAAATGAACTGCCTAGATTTTAATACTCTAATGTTTTAGTTTTATAAGCAAAGATTTTCTTTCCAAAACCAAGGGGAAAGATTGGGGTTTGGTTTTGTCTGTCTGGATCATTCAGACTGTACATCTAATACAGCCAAATGTAGACAAAGAAAACTTTGGGGGAAGAAAGTAATTCTTGCTTGTTGTAGAAGTCTGATAAAACATAAAAGGGTATTAAAAAAAAAACTAAAAACTCTGGTAATGCCATATACGAGACAGGCCCTGTTAATGTTTTGATAATATGTTAATATATTCATACATTAATAAGGGTAGGGTCATGACTATAACAAGCCTCCAAATACATAGAGGCTCAAATATAATAGCAATTTATTTCTAGGTCACAAATGTGTCCAAGTCAGTTCTGAGTTGTCAGTGTGTGTAGAAGGGAGCCAGTGCTCCACAGATTCGTTCTGGGATCCCAGCTGACAAATGCAATTCCATCTTTTTTTTTTTTTTTAAGAATAATTTATTTATTATTATAATTTTTCAGTTTTGACCTGAGAGAGAGAGAACAAGCCACAAGGTCTGGGACTCAGACCACAGTCGGCCATGTGGGAGTCCAGCACCCTTAACCACCATGCCATCAGCCAGTTCCCTAGCCCCAAGACAATTCCATCTTTAACACATGGCTTCCAGAGGTACCCTGGGAGTCAACCTCATTCCATTCGGGAGAAGGGGAAAGCACGTAGAAGCATAACTGGTAAGGCCCAGAAGTGATAGATTCACTTTTGACTCCATTGTCTAGAACTCGATAATGTGCTTAGAAACCCACCTAATTTGTTAAGGAGTCTGGGAAATGGAAATGTATTCTGGCTGTGTAGCCCAGACAGAAGGAAATGTTTGTTGAAAAAATAATAGTCTCTACCCTAGTATACTTTTTTCTAGCCTTTTCTAATACATATATGTGTATGTGTTAGTATGATTCCGATTATATTGTATATTCAGTATTAAAAAAAACCCCAAACTCAAATATCAGTATTTCCCATATAATTCTTTGTAGACAGGCTGCATGATATGGAAGGGAGCGTCAAAAAGTTTGTGGACAATTCATACTATAGGGTCGGCAGGTGGCATAGTGGTTAAGGGTGCTGGACTCCCACATGTTCGACTGTGGTTCAAGTCCCAGACCTGGCAATTTGCATTTCTTACTTTCTCTCTCTCTCCCTCCCTCCCTCCCTCCCTCTTTGGTCAAATTTAAATAAATAAACAAAATATTTCAAAAAAATTCATGTTATAAACTACAGGATTTAAAAATATTTTTGCACCAAAATAGGTTTTTATTTCAGTTCCATTTTCCCACACACTTTGTCTGAAGTCCTCTCATAGATCAGGGTTTCTCAAACTTGGCACTGTTGACACTTGGGGTGAGATAGTTGTGGAGGGAAGAAGAGCTACCCTGTGCACTGCAGGCCGTAGAGCAGCATCCCTGGCTTTTCACTAGATGCCAGTAGCACAGCCTTCCCCCAGTTGTGACACCCCAAACTGTCTCCAGACAATGCTAAATGTCTCCTCAGGACAGGCAAAATCACTCCCAGTTGAGAACCGCTGATCTAAAGCAACAGTATATAACTACTTCTCTTCCATTAAGCAGCTATTGCTTGCTTGCTTTTTTTTGTTTGTTTGCTTTTATATCTCTATGGTAAACATAAAGATATAAATGGTAAACGTAGAGATGTTTATGATAAACATCCTATTGACAAAAACAGTTGTTATTTACTTGGGAGAGAGGCTCAGAAGAGGAATTATTAGGTAAGTAGATGAATATTTTTAAGTCTCTTGATACACAGTGCCAAATGATTTTCCACAATGGCTCAACCAGTTTACTCACCTGCCTGTAGTGCAGTTTGTTATAATTTTTTTAATTTTAAAACCCCACAGCCATTGTTTAGTAAAAACATGAATCCAGTCCTTGCGATGGGTTTGTCGATAGGATTTCTGGTAGTGAGCGCAGGCACCAGGAGCTCCAAACTTTTTGGATTCACAGCAGCGGGGTCAGCAACCAACAGGGTCTGGTCATATTGGATGAGGATGTCTTCGATCTCCTTTTTAGAAGCCTCATTCACATATTTCTGGTAATGAGCCACCAGGACTTTGGAGATGGACTGACCAATAGCATAAATCTGGGCCACGTGGCTACCACTCTAGACACGGACACAGATGTCAGCACCAGCAAACCACTCCTTGCCCAGAAGCAGAACAGGTTCCATTAGTTTATGTTGCAGCGTGTGCGGCTCGATCGTTTCCTGGAACCTTCTGTTCACCTTGAGAGGCTGTTACCCATTTGCAGTGTACGGCGGCTGTGACTGTCTTCTTGCCTCCGAAGACTTGCACGGACTACAGCGGGCCCTTGGAAGGCATGACTGCGGGTATAGAAGAGGGATCCTCATCGTGCGGCGCTGCAACTGGAAGAGAAAACACAATCTTGTTATAATTTTTAAAGATTTGGTTTACTTGAGAAAAATTATTTGTTATTTCTTTTTTCTTTTTTCAGTTTTGCCAGAAGGCACCATCACTTTGCATAGGAAGAGAAGAGGGAAAAATCACACCTTATGGGGAAATAGTCACACCACAATTCCTTTTCCTCCATTTCTCCCTTGTTTTGGGATGTGGGGCATGCACATACAGGTGCCTGGCATGTTTCTTAAGCCTCCATCCAGTCTGGGACTCAAACTGCAAGGTCAGCCAAGTGGGATCTGGCTGCCTTAACCACCAGGCCACAGGTAGGCCCAGTTTATTATTTTAAGATAGCCTTTCTTGGGGCCAGCAGATGGCGTGGTGGTTAAGACACTGGACTCTTATATCGGTAACCATGGTTCGAGTCCTGGACCTGGCGACTTGAAAATCACACCAAGTACCTGTGTGTTCATGCCTGAAACCCTGAGAAGAGAATGGAGGAGAAGGGACTGTGGCATGGCTATCCCCTCCCCCCACCCCGGGGGGTGATTTCTCACTTTCCCTCTCACTGTCTCCAGCCATCACCTCCTCTCACTGTCTCCAGCAATCACATGTGCCCTATGGCAAAAAAAAAAAAAAAAAAAAAAAGGAAAACTTTCTTTTGACATCCTATACACAGTTGTTATAACTTGGTTTTTATCACAGCATCCAATTGTGACTAGCTCTAGCATTTAAACAGCTGTTCTTTATTTACTTTGGTTAAAAAAGACTTCTAGGGAATGATAGAAAAGTGGATCAAGGGTTTACTTTTTTCTTGGTTTCCAAAATCTTAAGAGTTTTTGGTTTCAGAGTGGCTCACTGAGATCCTGTCTTGCCAAAATACTATTTCATATTGCCATGCCTGAGTCCCCGTCCCATTGTTTCCACTGTCTCCTAGGAGCCTCCCAAGATGTAGGCTCTTTTCTAAACCAGGACTCGGCATGAATTCCTCATTGTCCTCATCCAGGCCACCTTTGTCTTGTTCTTTGCAGGCAGCCTCAGTTATTGTCATTTGCGGTTGGATTCTTGCATACACCCACACTCAGGAATCATTTAAATGGATTACTTTCCTGTAAGGAGGACAAAAACTTAAACCTACAAGCGCCCTGCTGTTTTATTACTTCATGAAGATTGGTTAGGAATGACTATTCCCGTGGGATTGTGAAAATGAGCCAGTGATCCGCCTAGCACAAATCTCTGTCCTTTTATGTAAAATATTATTAGGCTTTCTAGAGCTTTGCCTTGATAAAATCTTTCCTAATCCAATAAATTTCAATAGATGAAATGTTTGCCTCCTCCATCCTTTTTCAGTCCCAAAGCTGCTCTCTTCTGGTTTAAATGTCCCTTAAATGTACCATCTATTGTTACTGTTTATATAACCCACTGTTCAAGTAACATGAACGTATTTTCAAAACAATAAAGGCACACAACGTAAAATATCAGGGGTAATATATCAGGTGGTAATATCAGGCTTAGAAATGTGACAGAAGGCATTAGCCCCACAGAAACTGCACGGGTTTCATGGCTTTTCTAATACTTTTGCAGACAGGAAAAAGTCTTCTCTGAGGAGACAGAAGGAATTTAAGCCCTGGACACTGTTAAACCATTAATTCACTTAAAGGCTGAAGGTCAGGGCCTATACAGACCCTGAGTAAGTCTGCAGTCTCCTAGAGGCATCCCAGGGCCCGAGCTGGCTGATGAGGGAAACCGCCAAATTTGGCACCACTCATGTCAGAGGGGGCTACCTGCACCCTTGTTTGTTCCCCGCAAAGTGATTTTGTTACCGAACTCAAATCACGTTCGCTCACCCAAGCGCTATAAAACCAAACCATAGGCACATGGTGTGGTGAAGGAATGTACAGCTTTGTGGCAAAGCAAGGAGAGCGGGCAGCGCAGCTGATGCTGAAAAGGCCCGCCTCCCCGAGGTGTTTTCTATATGCGTTTTTTAAGGGCAAAAATTAGGGGCAGAGGTCCTAGGCGCACGATCAGTTCAGTGATTGGTTTAAGAGGGCGTGATCATCTTGTGGGCATTCTTGATTGGTGAGGCCTTAGATAATCAAATTTCTCTTCAGGTTTCTGGAACCATTCAGCCTGGAGTCTTTGAGCTGACAACCAGCAGTTTCCGACCTCCAAAACATCTTACATATTAAAATGAAAACCTTTCCTTTAAGTGAGAGTTTTAGAGGTCAAATGGCCCTCACTGCTGGTCCAAGTTTGTCATTATCATAACCAAAGTCTGAAGACTTACTCCTTACTCTGGGCCATTACAATGCAAATGGACTTTATAGTTCAGGAACCCTAGAAAATACATTAGGGAGTTCTAGCTCGGTT